TGGGCTCTAGATCACACCGCAGCGTTCAGTTCCAAAGCATGTAAAAATACTGCAGCAAGCCCTATTTTACCTGCTCTGGAATGCATGCAAACGCCCTGAAAGCCCATTTTAAACTAAAAACGTGGCAAAAAACGCGTCATAACACACTGCACTGCGTGTGCAGAAACTCATGCAGATTTGGTCTGCATTTGGTGTGAACAAGCCCAAAGACTGTAACTGGAGTGTAATGGAACAGAAGATCACCAATGCCACTAATTTCAGCTACTGTTTCCCCCAGTCAACAAGCCTTTCTGGTAGATTCACAGCTCTGTGGAATGCAGTAAACCTTGCAGTACTGTTCCTTCCTCACCCATTCTGGATGCCAATGTGCATGTGATTGCAGGGTGCTGGTAAAGCGACTACCATTTAAATATTTTAAAGCCTAAGTAAGGTAAACAAAATAGGTAGAGACAATTAAATCAAAGCAGTAAGTGATGAGGTTAAAGCAACACTAAACTCAGGAGTTAAATCTTAAAAATGCATTCAAGTACCATAACTATTAACAAAAATGTTATTTTATCTTATTTGTGTAGCAATCAGCTGTAGATCCAACTACAATCTCAATACAAATTAGTAAACTACACGTGAGATTGCAGGGGTGTGGAATTCCTATCGCCCGACGCCCGGGACAGGCAGTTTCGGGCGCCGGGCGAGTAGTTTTTGAATACATTCAGCCCTGCTCCGGACAAGCAGAGCTAAATGTATATTGTGGAGCCGCCGCTTGTTTTCATACAAGTGATCTAATCAGATCACTTGTATGAAGCGAGAATCGGCGATCCTGTCTGCCCCCCGCGCCGTGGTTTTCGGGGGTGCCCTGCTCCTCTGGTGGACCCGTCACCACGGCACGGGAGCTCACCATAGAGCCCGCAGAGCAGACGAAGAACTTCCTTTCTTCGTCTGCTCTGTGCTATCACTGAGACCGTGGCGCTGTAATCACAGCGCCACCTGTCTCGGCTGTCAGTTCTGTGTTGGAGGTCAGGTTCCATAAAGAGAACCTGTCACCTCCAAACTATCACAGAGGATTTTATCCTCTTTATCCTCTATAAAATCCTCTATCATAGAGGATTTTAACACCATATGTGATAGGAATAAAATGAAATCCCTGGCAGTCAGGAAGCCGGGTAGCATCTCATTACCCGCTGCCCGGCTTCATGATTGCCCAGGAAGCCTGCTCCATTCCAACGGAAGCACCGATACTCAGTGAGTGCTGAAAGCTAAATATTGGTACTCGTACTCGATACCCAAAAACTGGTATTGGTGCATCCCTAGTTTTAAACTTTGAAAACTTTTTTTTTTTTGTGTGTTGTGTTGTGTTGGGACAAGTAGATTGTCATGAAGGACAAGTAGTTTTTTCAAAAATGTCCACACCCCTGGATTGTAGTCCATCACAGGAGTGAGCTTGGAGCGGTGACAACTTTACAACACACAGGGACTGTGGGGAACAAAAGTAGCCACCCTCCAGATGGAAGGACAGTGTCTGCACCAATTCAGAGATGATTTGAGGATCTACAGCCGAGGGATATACACATGCGATACAGTTTTGTTAATAATTATAGTACTTGAATGTATTTTTAAGATATAACTCCTGAGTTTAGTGTCTTCTTAAAGCCCTTCTCAGTATACAAATGTATAAATGTATTATTGCTTATTAGTATGGGGAAGTGTAACTGAATTTTAAGTTCACTCTGGTCACTGCCTGTGTGTACACATAATTCAATTAATCTGTAATCCATAAAAAAATATCTGATTTTAGTTTAGTTTAACACTGCTTTGGTAGCTGAAATAATGTTGACCTTTATAGAAGCAGTGCTAATGTTGTTTGGTATGCAGCTGACATTTTTAATGGGCCTATTATATTTCCTCTCCTCATTAGTGCATCATTGAATTGCTAGTTCTTGTAGAACACTCATGGTAGAATGATACGTCGTTATGGATCACAGTTAAAGGCTTTGTTCAAACAGGCGGCAAGGGGGCGGCAAAAACGGGGTTGAGCTACACTTTTACTGCCCTCCAAACGCCCACCTAAGATAAAATGGCCACTGAGTGTTGAATACAAACCAAGTCTGCGCCACAAAGCAAATTTTAAACAATTATTGGGACTGCGCCGCAATCGCGTGAGTGGTGCTGCAGTATTACAAATATCAAAAACCTTACGCCCCTACTCTAATTCCTAAAACGAGCAGCAGGCACTATCCTCACAATTAAGTAGGAAAAACATACACAAAATTGAATGTGCCGCACATTACATTTTGTGAGTGTTGCAGTATTGCAACATAAAAGTCTATACCTTATGCAATTTGTTACCGCATAGAAGACAGTGACTGTTTTAACACTGGTTAAGCAGGCATGTTCTACTTTTGTTACAATCGGGAAACCAGCCCTCAGGAATGCCATGCAGCCATTGCTAGACATAGGAAGTATCTGAAATCGGCTGCAGCAGATCTGCCGCACTGAAATGCACCAAAGAATGAACATAACATGAAAATAAGTATTAAAAAAGACAATTGTTTCTAATACATAAATCTTTATTTTCCAAGTCACCTCCCACTTGGAAGCCGGATTGATCGCCTCTGAGGACATTGCTTACAAATTCTGCACCTTCTGTAACAACTCTACAACATTCACTGACAATAAATAAAGGTGTACCTTCAATCCTCAGGCCTTCCGACTATCCCCTCCAGGCAGCTTATTCTTCTCTGGAAGCCTTTCTCTCCCCTGAGGAACTCGCGCTACCCATTTCCTCCTTGCAGACGGCCTTCCACTCTGAAACGCCAAAACCTACCAGGACTCTATAATGCCATATTTTCTGCAAGCCTATAACTCTATCATCAAACACCACCTGACACACATTACAGTGATCCCAAAGGAGGATAAAGATCCTACCCAATATAGAAGCTGTAGACCGACAAGAATAATAATGCAACAAAAGTTATTGACTTGGTTCACTCTGCCTGGTCAAGCTCCAAACCCCTGATGCATTTATCTGCAGATGAGAAGGAGGCATTTGACTGGGTAGACTGAAAGTTTCTACATTCTTGCAGCAATAGAATTAAGTGCCTATTCTGTAGAGGAGAGGGAGTGGAAGAGTTTACAATTTTATGTTTTATTATTTCTTGCTTCTGCAATTTCTTCTCACCAGGAACAAACAAATGGATGACTCATTCATTCATTAGTTCCTTTACTTTCTCCTGCCTCTGTTGTAAAAGGAAAGGGAGGGCTTGGCAACATAAACATTACCATGTGATGACTGACTGTGGTAACCAATCACAGCGATCACAAGGCACAGAGCTGGTCTGATCGGCTCCATGCTGGAAGCCGATGCTCCTTAAAAAAAAAACTGTTTTAAGTCCCACTATGAATGAGAACATGGAACAAATCTAAAATAGGTGTTATCCCAGTTTGACTGCAAAAGGGGACATACACTTTGAAGTCCATTTAAAGGAGAACTATGAGATGAGTGATTTCCACTCACCTCATAGTTCTAGCCGACCTGTGACAATGAGACTGTCACAGGTCGGCTCAGTAGATCGGGAGGTGAGCGAACACATACCGGGTTCGCTCACCTTTCAATCCTGTCACGGCTCTCTGCCTTGACAGGGGGAGGGGCTGGATTCCCCCCTCCGAGCTACAGCTCGCGGTATACCGAGCTTAGGGTAACGGGAGGACGCTAGTTTGTGTCCTCCCGTTACCCTAAGGAGAACTATGGGGAAAAACACTGACCCCATAGTTCTCCTTTAATTAATTCTTTTTAGCTACGTGAGATTTTCTGGTGCTTTGTTTTGTCTGCAGCTTAGATCTGCTTTCTAAATTTGCCATTCACATCTGCATTTTCTGTAAAGCACTTTACTGCAGAGATAAAAGCATGTTTCCTTCAGTTGTATTGGAAGAGCTGTACTGTAAAATGTATTTTCTCTCAAGTGTTACAAGTCCTTCAGGGATTTCATGATAAATGTGTCTCTGCTCATATTGTCTGATGAGTTCCCATTATTTTATTCCAATATTGCAATAATAGAAAACTGTGAGACCAGGCCACAAGCAGATGTTGTTTTGATAATTAGGATGATTTGAATCACATAATCAAAGCAGGAAAGTTCCAGAAAATTACATCCTGTCTGTGAATCATCCATATGGTGTTTTTACAACCTTTAACCCCACTGTTGCTAACTTTTTTAGCAAAAGAACGCTGGGCGCTGTTTTCCAGACACTTCGTGCGGCAAGTTTTCCAGACAGATTATGAGTACCCTTATGTAAACAAGTAGATGAGTTCCCTTTACCGTATATAGGCAGTAAAATATATGGACATTTTTATTTGAGTTTAAAGGGGGTCTTTTTCTACATTTTTATATATTATTTGCTCACATGATACTATTTATATTATATTTGCATATCTCTAACATAGTTACAATGCTAGGTTTAAAAGACTTAAAGCAGAACTCTTAATTAACCCTTGCAGTAGGGCTACCCCCACACTGCAAGGGTTAATTGCTCATTTTCATCTAGGTGCTAAAATAACAAAGTTATACTCACTCGATCCTCCAAGCCGGTTTGCTCTCATATTGTTCCTTCAACCTTGCTCAGTATACAAAAGTCATGAAGGAAAATAGGTGGAGTAGTTCCACCACTCAAACAACACAAACCATAGCATACCAACGTGAGATGGCTCCAATGGGGACGTATTTAAAGGAGCAGAAGAGAATAAGAGAAATAGGTATGGAATGGGGAAAAAGAAGAGTACAGAAAAGTAAAGAAAGGAAGCCTACTATGTATTTCTAAATACTATGTCTTTATATTTTTTAATTGATGAAAGTATCTAGCTTGGTTTTGAAATGGTATAATATATGTAAGCATCTAATCTGTTCAAGACTGCAAGGTTTATACATTAACAATTTGTGAGTAATTACATCGGATCTTCTGTCCTAATGAGTTTTTAATGTTTTCTCTTTGTGTTTGTTTTTTTCCAGGGTGGAGAGGTCCACTGATCAAGTCATCAAGCCAGTCAACGTGGAAGCTTTGTCAAAATGGGTGGGGAAAATTGCTCCAGATGTTCTAAGAGACATGCCAGTCATTGCACCAATGTTGGCCAAACTAGGTTATGATCCATATGCCAACCCCCCCAGTTATGGAAAGCCAGATCAGAAGGTTCTTGACAATACAAGACGGGTGAGTTTCATAACGCCAATAGATCATGAGTTCTGGCTTAGCTCTGACTCTCATTTTGCTGCGTACTTGATTCTGGTCAGTGACAAGGAAAAAAAATGATGTCCAAGGCGTAGCATAACAGCCAGGTTATTATCGTTTTCAGAAGGTAGTCAGAAACTGCAGTCCAGAGATGTCTGTCATGACAGGGTTCCTTAAAGAGAAACCTGAACCACCAATTTAATGTCTCCCAAAAGAGTTACTTTGAAGGCATGCCAACTCTCAAGGTTGCCAGTGTGCTTATTTCAGCTCTCAACTGAACGTCCAAGCCCTCAAATGGCTGCTGTCATAGCTGACCACATGTGAAGCACCATGACAACTGCAATCCAAATAGAGGCTAAAATTGCACCTGCTTTGGCTGTTGGAGGTTGTAGTTCCACTTTAATGTGAACTGGAAAAAATTAGGATCCCTAAGAAGGTGTAAATGCGTGCATTTTTTTTTACTGCCGTACATGCTGTGTTCTGTACTTCTGATTCTGTGGCTTTTATAGTGATGCTTCAATGCTAAAAATGTATTCTGAATAACTAAGGTAATTTATACTTCTACAAACCCAGTAGCTTATGTGGATTTTCCATGGCAACAGTATTTTTCTTTCTCTTCTGTAGAAAGGCCTATAATAGCACACAGCCTTTCATTGATAGACGTGAAACGGCTGTTTCAGACTCATTTCCTGCTTTATTAATTGGATGCATACCTTGTGTTTTTAGTGATGTCACTGTGCGCTATGCTTTCCAAGCTATTGACTATTTCTATTGTCTACTCTGTATTGTTTCATATCCTCTAGACCTCAGTTAAGTTAGACTGAAAACACGAAGTGCACAGCTCATGCCTATCATGCGTCCCTGCAATTCACATTTGGTGCACGGATGTTGATCCTGATAGAAATCTATTATCCTTGTAACTTCATGTGAACTGAACTGAATTCTCAAACAATGTTATTAGCTTCCCAAGCTATGTTTGAGGACTGCACAGCTCATCTTAGTTGAGGAGAGGGGAGGTTTTTGAAGTTAGAATCAGGAGAGCAGCCTTGGGTGAAAATACTCCTCTTCCATATCTACAGTATGGGGAGTGGCGTTGTCACTCTAGGATAGGAAGTGTGTTACTGGCAGGACTGCCAGGTAAAAATAAAGGGGAAAAGAAAGAAAACAAATGCAGCCACGACAATGACTGGTACGCTGCTATGTATCTCATTTTTGCTTTTGGGATTAGATACCTTTTTAAGGGCCCATTCACACCTATATATTTTATGAAAACACACTTTAACACACCATGCAACACATGAACGCCATTCCTTTTTAATCTTTTTAAGGGAATGCACATGCATTGGCTTACACGGCAATGCATTGTGTTGCACCGAATTGCTAAAAATGATACTTATCTGTGTTTTTGTCCATACTGGAGCGTTGGCAGCCTATTCAGGTGAATGGGCTGCATTAATGACACACAAGGTAACGTGTGGAACACACCAGAATGGAATGGAAAGATAAAAAGCGAGGGGAAGCACTTCTTTGCTAATTTAGTGCTGATCTGAAGAACATAATACTAGTAGCCAAGTATTCTGGATTTGTCTTTTGTTGCCAGTTAAGAGTTGAATATAAAGCAGCTGCTTGTCAGCGGTTTCCATTCATATTTTGTGGATAAATGGTCATTGTAAATTCAGACCACGTGAAGAAAAACTGCTACCGCCTGTTTACATTGGTAAATTTAGCTGTTCTGTTTCTGTAGCAGCAATTTGTTTCTGTTTGATGCATCTTTCCTGTCACATTTTTAAAGCCCACTGTACATTTACAGTTCATTTTGGATGTCAAAATGCATGAGGTTATTTTGCATCTATTGTGCTGTCCAGGTGCTCACAGCAATTATAAACCCCAAATAGTTTTCTGGGATTTCAGCTTCACTGTGAGAGATATCACTGCCTAAGAACTAGAATACAAACTGTGAGGAAGAAATATGGTTTCTGAGGCTTTTCACAGAATCATTTTGCATTTGTGACAGCTTACCTTTAAATTAGAAAAAAATAAATAAATCCCTTGCTGTGCAGTATTTATCATGTCCAGACTTCGGAAGGTAGTTTCAGAAAGCTCCAGTTCTTAGAAATAAGAGAGAATAAGTGTGCAGATGCAGGACTGGCAGCTTATTCTAAAAATGCAGCCATGTAGCTTGCTGTATGAAGCTATTGCTGTGTACTTTTCCCTGACTAGCATTATATAACCTGTTTTCCTGTATACTTCCCATTCACATTTGCATCTCATTCCTTATTATTGCCTCGGGCATAATAGCCTTGCAAGTAAAGAGGGATTCAGTCATTTGTTTCTTTTCACTATGTAGAACATACTTTTGCTCTTCTTTTTTTTTTCTATTAAATAATTTTAAAAAATCTTCCTATCTGTGCAGCAGAATTTATTTTGTTGTGACAGCTGCTTTATATTGTTAAAAAGCTAAATATTTATCATTGCATGCATCACAAAACATAAACATGTCATTAGCTCTTTACTATAAGTGAAGCATTGGGAAATCTTCCCAAAATCTAGTTGCCATTTAGGAGCCTGCAAATTTGAAAGCCCTTTTTGGTGGATCTGATTGTAATGGACATGTCTGGGGGACAGGAATTGTGCAGTTTTCCAGTGCTTGTCTTGGCAGTGCAGAATAATTTAACCCCCATTTTTTTAAGGCCATCTATGTTTCTGAATGGCAATTTAATTATGAATGGTAGCCCAATGGACCTAGGCAGCGCATTGTAGTTCACTGCAATACATAGATATGAACCTGAAAGTAATGCATATCCATTTTTCATACATTCACCACTTGAAGTCCGCGGTGTTAAACCCCCTTCCCATCCAGGCCATTTTTCAGTATGCAGAGCTGCAGTACTTTGACATTTATTCCGTCATGCAACGCTGTACTGAAATTAATTTTATACCATTTTTTAGGGACAGATAGAGCTTTCTTTTGGTGGTATTTGAACACCACTGCGGTTTTTATTTTTTACTATATTAATGAAAAATTACCGAAATAAAAAAAACAAAACCTGTTTCCCCTATATTAAATGATACAAATTTTATTATTACCCAATTTTTTGGTAAAATATAAAAGACGTGGTCACGTCGGGTAAAAAGACACCAAACATGTCAAGCCTTAAAATTGCGTGCGCGTGTGAAACCTCTAAAAACTATAATACCCAAAATTGGCCATAGGCGACGCTTTAAAAGCTTTTACCGCTCATCAGTTTAGTGTTATCAGTGATTGATGGCCCTAAAATGATTGCTCTCACTACGACGTTCGCATCGATATGTAACGTGTGTAGCGCAATTGTTGTTTTCACGCGCTGGTGCACCGGACGCGTATTTACGTTTATATACGTGGGGATGGGGGACTTAAACATTTTGTTTTTTTTTTAAACTTTTTTTTATATGAGACTTTTATTCTTGTTACTTTTTTTAATTTGTATATTTATTTTACACTTATTGTTATTGCTATTACATAGGGGGATAACAATCCCCTATATAATAGCACAGATACACTGGCAGGTCCTCTTTATGGAGACATTTGGGGTCTCTAGGACCCCTAATGTCACCTGGGGACCCCAAAAAGAAGCTGATGAAGCAGAGATCTGCTTCATCAGCTTCTTTTCTCTGGCTTTTCTCTTTTCTCTTTTCTCAGGCTATAGCAGCCAGATGACTGACAGGTGAATGCGGAAGTGATGTAATACACATCACTTCTGCATTCACAGCCCGGAGGGAGATCAGCAAGGAGCTGATCTCCCTCCCTCTTCCTCCTGACCCTCCCGGGCCGCAGATGGGCTAGCGGATCCCGGGATTGAAGGTGAGGGGCTAGGAGGGGGGCGGCGGCAGAAGACGAGGGGGGCACATACCAGCACATATACACAATCGGCTGGCTATAGAGCCGCCGATCGGTTATATGTTAAACAGCCGGTAACTGCTCTGTGCATTGCACGGGTCCTTTTGCCCGAGCGCGTGCTAGGAGAAAAAAAAGCCGCCTGGGACGGCTGTGCAACCCGCTAATGCAGCAGTGCCGTCCGTCCGTTTTTTATCAACGGGCGGACGGCAACTGGTTAAGGTGTTCGGCCAGCCCATTCAAAATAAATGGGCTGCCTTAACATAGCCTTCCTTAATGTGTATTTTCACTTTTGCAGTCATATTTGAGAAAACCTCTCTATATGTTTGTTATGTGCTCCTGCTCATTTTTTTTTTCTTTTTCATGTATTTTTTTTAATTATTATGATGTCTTACCTTTTAACCCTTTCACTACCCATGATGGGAAAATCCCGTCATGAAGTTTGAAGGGGTTAAACGGAAAGCCTCTTGGAGTCTGTTCAGTTTTGTAGAGCCGACAGGAGAGATTCTGGTGGCTCAGCTGCCGCCAGATCGCTTCTATGATCCGGTAAGCCCCCTATGTGATAGCAATTGAAGTAAAGATTAAAAAAAAAAAAAGTTTTAAAAATAATATAAAATAAATGAAATGTAAAAAATAAAAATGTAAAGTCCCCTGCCCCAGCGAGCATGTGTGTCGTCACGTAAACACGCGTCGGGTGAGCCTGCGTATGAAAACGACGATCGCTGTACACATGCTGGGTATCGCCGCGCACGATGGAGTGAGAGCAATAATTCTAGGGCCAATATTTACACGTATCTCTAAACTGATGACCTGTAGGGGCTTTTAAAGCGTCGTCTATGGACTTTTTGGGGGACGGAATTCTGTCACAGTTTCACGGACGCACACAATTTTTAACCTATTTACTCGCTGTAACCTCACCTATTATATGTTACAAAAACAAAATGGTTTTATATAATGTTTTGGGGCACTGAATTTAACTTAAGTGTTTTTTTCCCTACATTTTTGGGTTTGATAATAAATTGCACTAATGTCATGCAACATAAAAATTTGCAACTTCCGCCATTTTATTCTATAGGGTCTTGGCTTTCAGAAAATATATCATGTTTGA